TAGTGAAACTGCAGGTTCAAATTACAAAGATATAAAAGTACTCATGCACGATAAATTAATTAAAGACTATAGTGAAACTGCAGGTTCAAATTACGAAGATATAAAAGTACTGAAGCATGATATATTAATTGAAGATAATGATATTCCATATGGATGTGAAGCTTCAGATTTCACTAGGGAAATATCAGAAAAGGATATATTTGATATCATCCACAATTTAAATAATCCTGTACCTTTTAGAGACATGTTTGTTTTATTTAACAATTTTCATCAAAATGAAAGAAAAAAATTCGATGAAATGCAGGATTTTTTAAAAACAATTTTTGATGATTTAGCCAATCAAAATCAACTAAGAGAAGAATATAAAAGCAAAGCATGGACTAATATCTCTTTACCTATTATTCAGGAATTGTTAAAAAAGGATTCTATCGATTTCAAATTTTTATCTGAATTCATGAAATCTGGAAATTGCTCCCCTGACGAATATATTAATTTTATAAATTCTATGAAGTTATCTTGGAATTTCTTTTGGAACCACATTGAAAATATGGGCAAGGCCATGATTTATGAGACTGTGACTAGGGCTATTAGCCCCACGGAGGAAAGTCAGTCGGTCCTTTGAAACACATTTAGTTAGCTATGTCGTGTGGATGTAGAGTGTTCGATGCAGAATTATTAAAGGGCGGGGTGGAGCAGAATAATGGGGAAATGTTTTCCATTCCCGTGAGTGAATAGGAAAAAGTACGAAATGTAAAATATATCTGAAAAAAATTACTTGAGTAATTTTGGTACACATTTGTACAGCGATATATATTTTGAGTAAAAATTTTACCGCTTATTTTTTCTGACATAAATAAGTTTTCTTTTTTCCTGTATTTATTTGGCTGTATGAATGAGAGTAATTTCTTCATAGTAGTACAAGTTCCATTTGTGTAATTCGAAGGGCGAGTTTTTCACCTAAATTTTTTTTTTTAAAAATTTGCATATATTGTATGTACATTTATGGCTATATTACATAAAAATTAAGGAAAAAATAAAATACTGCATGTGTATATACATATATATAGTGTTTTATTTGCTCATTTCGTTCCACGTAAAAACACCTTTCTTTTATACTTTCACGATATGTATTAACAAGAAGGGTAGAAATATTTATGACAATTTTGTTCTGTGTTGTCAACACTGAATTTAGGAACCATACCTTGGATTTCACATAGCACACCTCAATGCGACGAGTAACATGTGCATGCATAATTCTATTTTTCTTCTGATTTCTGCTTCTTTTATGTATGTACATGTTTTTGTATACATTTTTGGCAATTTATATTTAATGAAAGAATTTTCAAATTAATTAAAACTTTGCTTTTTCTGCAAACCAACGAAATCTACAGCAACAATACAAACCAACTTTTGAGTGAAACGTGTAATATTTGTTTTCCTTACCATATAAAGAACTATTTATGGCACTAGTGCAGTGCTCAAAATATCACTTTTTGGGCAATAAAATGGATAAAAAAAAATTTTTAGAAAAAACTCATGATGAGGCGTTCAAGTTGATGTTATTACACGTTACACTAGAGTTATGTTAACGTGTCCATTCTTTATATTTTTTTCCTAAAACCTAAGAAACAAGCATACAAAAAAAAAAAAAAA